GATCAATTTCAATGGGGTTTTATTCTTGAATTCTTGGGGTTCTTTAATATGCTGAATCTAACCGTGTATTAAGTTTTTGGATTTTGGGCCCCGTTTTTAAATTGGTCCACATTGATGTCCAAAGGGTCCAAAATTAAACTTTGTTTGATTTCATCAAAAATTGAATTATTGGGGTTCTTTGATATGCCGAATCTAACCGTGTATTTAGATTCTTAATTTTTGGTTCCGTTTTCAAATTGGTCTACATTAAGGTCAAAAGGGTCCAAAATTAAACTTAGTTTGATTTTAACAAAAATTGAATTCTTAAGGTACTTTGATATGCTGAATCTAAACATGTATTTAGATTTTTGATTATGGGCCCAGTTTTCAAGTTGGTCCAAATCGGGGTCCAAAATTAAACTTTGTTTGATTTCAACAAAAATTGAATATATGGGGTTCTTTGATATGCTGAATCTAACCATGTATTTAGATTTTTGATTTTTGGGCCCCGTTATCAACTTTGTCCACATTGAGGTCAAAAGGGTCCAAAATTAAACTTTGTTTGATTTCATCAAAAATTGAATTCTTGGGGTTCTTTGATATGCTGAATCTAACCATGTATTTAGATTTTTTATTTGTGGACCCGCTATCAAATTGGTTCATATTGAGGTCAAAAGGGTCCAAAATTAAACTTTGTTTGATTTCATCAAAAATTGAATTATTGGGGTTCTTTGATATGCCAAATCTAACCGTGTATTTAGATTTTTAATTTTGGGTCCCGTTTTTTAAATTGGTCTACATTAAGGTCCAAAGGGTCCAAAATTAAACTTAGTTTGATTTTAACAAAAATTTAATTTTTGGGTTCTTTGATATGCTGAATCTAAACATGTGTTTAGATTTTTGATTATGGGACCAGTTTTCAAGTTGGTCCAAGTTGGGGTCCAAAATTAAACTTTGTTTGATTTCAACAAAAATTGAATATATGGGGTTCTTTGATATGCTGAATCTAAACATGTATTTAGATTTTAGATTTTTGGCCCAGTTTTCAAGTTGGTCCAAATTAGGGTCCAAAATTAAACTTTGTTTGATTTCAACAAAAATTGAATATATGGGGTTCTTTGATATGCTGAATCTTACCATGTATTTAGATTTTTTATTTTGTGGGCCTGCTATCAAATTGGTTCATATTGAGGTCAAAAGGGTCCAAAATTAAACTTTGTTTGATTTCATCAAAAATTGAATTATTGGGGTTCTTTGATATGCCAAATCTAACCGTGTTTTTAGATTTTTAATTTTGGGTCCCGTTTTTTAAATTGGTCTACATTAAGGTCCAAAGGGTCCAAAATTAAACTTAGTTTGATTTTAACAAAAATTGAATTCTTGGGGTACTTTGATATGCTGAATCTAAACATGTGTTTAGATTTTTGATTATGGGACCAGTTTTCAAGTTTGTCCAAGTTGGGGTCCAAAATTAAACTTTGTTTGATTTCAACAAAAATTGAATATATGGGGTTCTTTGATATGCTGAATCTAACCATGTATTTTGATTTTGGACATTGGACCATAATAGGTAAATTAAAAAAATTGAAGTTCTTAGACCACATTCTTTCTGTGTCAGAAACCTATGCTGTGTCAAATATTTAATCACAATCCAAATTCAGAGCTGTATCAAGCTTGAATGTTGTGTCCATACTTGCCCCAACTGTTCAGGGTTCGACCTCTGCGGTCGTATCAAGCTGCGCCCAGCGAAGCATTTTATTTTTATTTACTATAATAATAAAGTATATGATATTAAAACGTAATTAAGGCATTGTTATTGATGAAAGTCTGCTGTTAACTGAGTGTAGTGTAAAGGTTAGGTTTATGCTAGGTTGGTTATTGTACAATATGTCTATAGTATATAACAAGCATAAGAAAGTGCAAGGGTTTTTGAAAGTTGTATTCTACATTTAGATATATATGTATATAGATGACTATATAATAAGCAAGAATTAGTTTAGACACCAAAGCACAGATAACAAGTACAATTTTATACAATACCTTGACTGCTGCAGCTAAAAATGAATTAATAGTAAATACAAAGAAATACAAATTATTATGTCACATTGAAATATTTGCTATCATGAATATGATCATCATCACCATCATATCATTTAAATAAAATAAATAAATGAAAATTATAATCATGTTATAAAAAATTATAATATGTTTGTACTGTGTACAGATTTATTTCTTGAATGAAGGTAGTAAAAATGATAACATATCTGCAGCATCTGAGTAGTCTGCCGGCCAATTCCTCAAAGACGCTATTACCGTTGGTTTCAAATCTTCATTCAAATCATAAAACCGTACTTGAATAGCCCCAGCAAAGCATTTACAATACTTTCACTGTTTAAATTGCCCCTCCTTCTTTCACTTAATTTGTATCCACAGTATGATTTGTTGTTTAAAATGTTGGAAAGGCGATCAGACTTCCTGGAATATAAAGATAAATCAAGTTTAATCATGTGGCATAACAATAAATCTACTGTAGACTATCATGAACTAAAATGCACTTTCTGAGGTCAAGATTTTTGTAATTATCATTTCAAACTCATTGTTCAAATTATTTTAGTTTACCTAGTAATGCACTGCTGTAACACATCAGATGTAGCTTCAACATGTAATTGGACATCACCGAGGGTTACATCTTCTCTTTGCAGTAAGAGAGAAAGTCTTGCCAAAGGCTCCAAAATATCCTGTAGAGTAGAGTAGAACAATAAATAAATACAAGTTGAAAGTAGTTTTTTTACAATGCAACTTAAAAAGTTATGTTAAGAAACAAAGCATTATCACTTTGAATCTGGCTGAACTTGTAATGTTTTGCATATCTCCCTATTTAAATAATTAATGTCTTATTTTACAAATTAACACAATTCCAATAAAGAAAACTACTAGGACAAGATGAACTAGTACTACTTACTTGCAAAAAAGCTGCATATGCAATGATATCTTGACTGCCTAATAACTTTGCTAATCCTTCTGCCTTTGCATGGGTGTGCGACATGGTCTGAAGATGGGTGATGTATGCCGGGTAACTTTGAAATAATGATGACAGTGCTTTCCTTAGATGAGGCATCCACCTGCTCCCTCCTACACGGTGGGGTAACTGGCCTTTTATATTCAAGATCTAAAAGTTAACATGACACAGACGGTTATTCAATATTGCAAAAAATATGTTGCTATAAAATAAAATACAACATATCATAAACATTGTCTGTGTCTCTATCATTTGGTGTTCTCGGTTTATTTTTTGTCCACAGATTTCCCCTTATTTGGCAATTCGGCATGGATACTTTTGCTTTTAAAATTAAAAATGTACTTATTACCAAAATGTTAATTTAAAATTATTTTTTTTTTAGATTTTAGATGATTCCTTACCTTAAATATTTTTTTCAGTTTTTTTCCTCTGAGCTGGGCTGTTTTTGAAGAAATAGTAAACTCCTAACAGGAGTGTCACAAGTTTGTCATATGTTTTGTCCTTTTTAAGGGTGTCCTTAAAAGCTAGCGCCAGACGATGCCCCAAACAGTGGATGCCGACAACTCCTGGGTAGTCCTGTTTTATTAAGGTGACAAGTCCATGTTTTACTCCTGTCATGTTGCTTGCTCCATCAGAGCCGAACCCCACTAGTTTGTCCTTGTCCCCATAGATGTTGTTTTCTTTCATCTGGCTGATTACGAACTGGTATAAATCAGCGGAACATGTTGATTCTGGCTCTCCTATACAAATAAATCTGTTAAATATTTTCCCTTTGTGACTGGTTCTCATATAAATAGTTTCCTGTTCCGTAATAGAGTCATCCGTCGATCCATCCATAGAAAGGGAGAAAAAATTTATTTCACTAACAAATTTCTGTTAGTTGCCCTTCTCAACTGCAGCTATTTTCTCCAACGCTTGTTGTAACTTTCCCCATTATCTAAACCTTTTGCTTCATCAAGTTCATTTAACCATGAAAAGTCCGACATCAGTCGGTTGTGTTTGATAATTGCATGCATGTTTCTGAATTTTAAATTTAGTTGAGCTCTATTTTTTTTATTTAAAGAAATAATAGACCTATGGGCAGGAGCCTCTGTTGGATTTTGCTTTGCCTCTGCAATTAAACTTGCATTAACATGACTTTTATTCTTCTCATGATCTGAGATTGTGCTAAGTTTAAAGTTAGTGCATCCTGTCAAAAAGAGGTGTTTATTCTTGAGATTATTGTCGGTACTGCTACGTTTGCCGTGCAAAATGCAAATTGTGCATGTCATCATGTTGTTGTTATAAAGTAACCATGATCGCCCCTCTTGCCATTTTGGGTTGAATGACCTTTCAGGTCGTTTCTTCTTTTCGTACAAGGACCGCTTAACAGCTTTATCAACATGAATAGGTGACTGGTTTGGCCTTTTACTGGGTTTCGACCAACTTACAAATTTTATTGGCCATGACATATTTCCTGAACTTATCAACTACGCTTAATAGACCTCCTTCCTGAAGAGCGAATTTCTAAAACCAGAAACATGACGGAAATACGCGGAATGGTTTGGGGCGAGATGGACATGGTACGAAAAGTCTGTCACTGGGCGGAAATACTGGTTCCCGAAGTTAGAAAAAGCGAGGGAACAGGAAATTTACTTTTATTAAAGATTATCACAATTTTATAAACAAAATACTCTGCCAGGACTGACGGGGAATTAAGTTTTGGCGGACCCAAGCAGACTAAAAATTTGCCGGACCTGCATAAATTCTGCCCCTTAGGTCCGACAGGTCCGACGATTAGTTGCATCTCTGCACTCTGCCGATTTATGCTGAAATTACTACCTTTGAACTTTGAAAATTTCGTGAAAATAACAATTATAGGGACTTATTTTTTCGAAACGCCTTCACGTATGACAAGATATTTTTCGACATAAAATGCGATATGAATTTTTCTCAGACAAGCCGAAACACAGTAATCCTGTACCTGGGTCCTGATATGTGCTATTCTTTCTCTTTTTAACAGATCAGATACAGTTATAATATCGACTAAAGAAGGTGTTGAGGACACACCTACTAAAGAAACAGATACACCTGTCAAGGACACATCACTCAATACATCTGTGGTAAGTTTGTGTAATACACTTGTTTTTCAAACTTTTGTAAACAAAGTCTGTTAACCAATTCTTTATTTTTGCCCTGTCTAAGTTTACCAGTGCTATAGTCTTTGATTACCTAGCCCTGTCTAAGTTGAATGCTTAGGTCAGACAGACAGACTGGTATTTTAAAGTATGCTATATGGTGCATGTCAGTCGACTCCAGAATAAATGTCAAATGATTTGCTCAGACTCATGCAATGATGTCTTATCACTTTGTATTTGGAACTATTTCATTGGAAAGTTTTTATACGCCCGTTTACGGGACGTATTATGGTATACCGTTGTCCGTCTGTCCGTCCGTCGTCAACATGTCGGACATTAACTCAAAAACACTTTAACCAATTTGCATAAAACTTTGGTGAATTGTTTATATCTATTGACGTGAGCTCCCTTTCGTTTTTATACGACCGCAAAAAAATTTTGTGGTCGTATATTGGTATGACGTTGGCGTCGTCGTCGTCGTCGTCGTCGTCCAGCGTCGTCGTCCGGCGTCGTCGTCCGAATACATATTGGTTTTCGCACTCTAACTTTAGTTTAAGTGAATGGATCTTTTTGAAATTTGACCATAAGGTTAAATACCACAAAAGGAAGGTTGGGATTGATTTTGGGGGTTATGGTACCAACAGTTAAGGAATTAGGGGCCAAAAAGGGGCCAAAAATGAGCATTTTCTAGTTTCCAGACAATAACTGTGGAACGGTGTATGGATCTCTCTGAAATTATACTACAAGTTTCCATACCACAAAGGGATGGTTAGGATTTGCTTTGGGGGGTTATGGCTCAAACCGTTTAGGAATTAGGGGCAAAAAAGGGGGAAAAACAAGGTTGTCCTGGTTAATGGACAAATACTTTAGTACAAAACATAATTTAAAGCAGTGTAAGGGAGATAAATCAAATACATCATTGAAATTATCTCCCTTACACTGCTTTTAAATTGTGTATAAAGTAATGGTTAATGAACAATAAAGATAATCTAAAACAGTGTAAGGGAGGTAATCCAAATACAACGTTTTGGTTACTTCCCTTACACTGCTTTTAAATTATGTTTAAAGAAATGCATATTTATAAAGGAAGACCAGTAAAAATATCTGCAAATGTTTTCATCTTTTTTTTTTACAAAAAAATCCATATGAAAGATTTGACACTATATTTTTATTAATTCTATTATAAAATAGATTAAGTTAGCACTATGGTAAATTTAAATGGGTAATTATGGTTGCCAACTCCATTGGAAATTTGAATTGAGATTATGACCATATCTTGAGGGAAAGAATTTTTTTGGGGGAAAAAGGGGGGGGGGGATAAAAAGAAATTGTGGGGGGCCAATTTTTTCTCATTTCAGATTTCAGAAATTAAAAAGAATTATTCTTCAAATATTATTTTTTTTTCAAATTTCAAATATTGAAAAATTTCAAGAAGTAATCTTTAATTGCACAGTATGGCGCATTAGATTTGTAAAATCTTTGATCACATTTATTTATTTGTTATGCCGAATCTAACAGTGTATTTAGATTTTTAATTTTGGGTCCAGTTTTCAAATTGGTCTACATTAATGTCCAAAGGGTCCAAAATTAAACTTTGTTTGATTTTAGCAAAAATTGAATATATGAGGTTCTTTGATATGCTGAATCTAAACATGTATTTAGATTTTTGATTTTTGGCCCAGTTTTCAAGTTGGTCCAAATTGGGGTCCAAAATTAAACTTTGTTTGATTTCAACAAAAATTGAATATATGGGGTTCTTTGATATGCTGAATCTAACCATGTATTTAGATTTTTTATTTGTGGACCCCGTTATCTAATTGGTTCATATTGAGGTCAAAAGGGTCCAAAATTAAACTTTGTTTGATTTCATCTAAAATTGAATTATTGGGGTTCTTTGATATTCCAAATCTAACCGTGTATTTAGGTTTTTAATTTTGGGTCCTGTTTTTTAAATTGGTCTACATTGAGGTCCAAAGGGTCCAAATTAAACTTAGTTTGATTTTAACAAAAATTGAATTCTTGGGGTTCTTTGATTTGCTGAATCTAAACATGTGTTTAGATTTTTGATTATGGGCCCAGTTTTCAAGTTGGTCCAAGATAGGGTCCAGTATTTAAACTTTGTTTGATTTCAACAAAAATTGAATATATGGGGTTCTTTGATATGCTGAATCTAAACATGTATTTAGATTTTTGATTATGGGCCCAGTTTTCAAGTTGGTCCAAATTGGGGTCCAAAATTAAACTTTGTTTGATTTCAACAAAAATTGAATATATGAGGTTCTTTGATATGCTGAATCTAACCATGTATTTAGATTTTTTATTTGTAGGCCCCGCTATCAAATTGGTTCATATTGAGGTCAAAAGGGTCCAAAATTAAACTTTGTTTGATTTCATCAAAAATTGAATTATTGGGGTTCTTTGATATTCCAAATCTAACCGTATATTTAGATTTTTAATTTTAAGTCCCGTTTTTTAAATTGGTCTACATTAAGGTCCAAAGGGTCCAAAATTAAACTTAGTTTGATTTTAGCAAAAATTGAATTCTTGGGGTTCTTTGATATGCTGAATCTAAACATGTGTTTAGATTTTTGATTATGGGCCCAGTTTTCAAGTTTGTCCAAGTTGGGGTCCAAAATTAAACTTTGTTTGATTTTAACAAAAATTGAATATATGGGGTTCTTTGATATGCTGAATCTAACCATGTATTTTGATTTTGGACATTGGACCATAATAGGTAAATTAAAAAAATTCAAGTTCTTAGACCACATTCTTTCTGTGTCAGAAACCTATGCTGTGTCAAATATTTAATAACAATCCAAATTCTGAGCTGTATCAAGCTTGAATGTTGTGTCCATACTTGCCCCAACTGTTCAGGGTTCGACCTCTGCGGTCGTATCAAGCTGCGCCCCAGCGAAGCATTTTATTTAAATTGGTCTACATTAAGGTCCAAAGGGTCCAAAATTAAACTTAGTTTGATTTTAACAAAAATTGAATTCTTGGGGTTCTATGATTTGTTGAATCTAAACATGTGTTTAGATTTTTGATTATGGGCCCAGTTTTCAAGTTGGTCCAAGATGGGGTCCAGTATTTAAACTTTGTTTGATTTCAACAAAAATTGAATATATGGGGTTCTTTGATATGCTGAATCTAACCATGTATTTTGATTTTGGACATTGGACCATAATAGGTAAATTAAAAAAATTGAAGTTCTTAGACCACATTCTTTCTGTGTCAGAAACCTATGCTGTGTCAAATATTTAATCACAATCCATATTCAGAGCTGTATCAAGCTTGAATGTTGTGTCCATACTTGCCCCAACTGTTCAGGGTTCGACCTCTGCGGTCGTATCAAGCTGCGCCCAGCGAAGCATTTTATTTATAAATTTTAGATGTTACGTTTCCAAGTTATGGGGTTTTATTCATTAAAAAAAGGGGGATTTTCCAGTTTTCGGACAATAACTCAAGAATGCTTTCACCAACTTGCAAGAAATTTTGGTTAATTGTTTATATCTATTGACATGAGCTCCCTTTTGATTTTTATAAATTTTAGATATTATGTTTCCAAGTTACGGGGTTTTATTCATAAAAAAAAAGGGGGATTTTCCAGTTTTCGGACAATAACTCAAAAATGCTTTCAGCAGTTCTAATGAAACTTTGATGAATTGTTGATATCTATTGATGTAAGCTCCCTTTAGAGTTTTATAAATTTTAGATTTTACATTTCCGAGTTATGGGGTTTTATTCATTAAAAAAGGGGGAATTTTCCAGTTTTCAGACAATAACTCAAAAATGCTTTCAGCAATTCTTATGAAACTTTGGTGAATTGTTTATATCTATTGATGTAAGCTCCTTTTAGATTTTTATAAATTTTTATATGTGCTTTCTCTGACCCAAAAAGACAGATTTAAAACAATATAATCTTTAATGGTAACTTGGCAGAAATCTTGATGAATAATCAGCATAAAGATTGATATTTGATACAATGTCAGTTTTAAGTATTCATGATTTTTTGCTGATAAACCAGTGCAACAGACTGTCTCATTGAAACTAAACATTTGCTTAAAATGTCCTTAAAAGGACCATGGATTTCAAATTAAAAAAAATAGTATGTTTGAACTCTGTGTGTACTATTTTGTACATTTGTTGTAAATATTTTATTTTTTTAAGAGAATTTGTTTTACAGAGGACAGGATTAGAGGAAGAAAGTTCCTTTATTTAATGGTTTTAACATTGGCTCTTTTCACTACTACACAAAATATGTTTCTTTGTTGAGGTTGTAATTTTTGTTTGCTTCTCTAATATCTTCAAAGCCATTTTATATCACAAGAATATTTAAGGGCATCTTTATACACAGTTATCAGTAGTATTGGTCATCTTTAATTTCAGACTGTAGATAAACCAAAGCTGGAAAAGATGGTAACACTCAACCAAAGCTTCACAGCCAGAAAGAGGCAGATGTCTTTATACTCAGGGCTCAATAAAAGTTTCCAGAAGGTAGGGCATTAATTACATAATAGTTATTGAAAAACTGGTCATTATCGTGATATATGGACTGCCCAAAGGACAGTGGTATTGACTAAGACAGAGATAATGACTGAGCCATAGGCGAGGTCATTATCGCTGTCGCAGTCAATACCACTGTCCTACGGGCAGTCCATGTATTACGATAATGACCAGTTCTTCAATAACTATCATATTTATTTCATTGAGGAATAATGTTTTTAAAAATTCTTATAAATTCAAGTTGTTCAAAGCAAACTCGAGTTATTGTACGATTTCTATAGGAAAGAGTGAAGACCAGTCATAGTGATAACTATAAGTCACTGCCATTCATTTAAGTGCACTTTTTCAGTACATGAAAACAATATGAAGTTTTCTATGATTTTATAATTAACGAAAACATATGGTAAACAATTCAACAACTTGAATTTAAAATTGAAAACAGGAAAATGTTTTATTAAAGGGACATCTCTCTAAACAGAGAAACCACGCCCCACCGGTCATTAACATGTAAAAGTCTGTTAACGACAGGTTTTCCGTTCCGTTTTTTTTTTCTGTTAAAGACCGATAGAAATTATTACTGAGAAATAAAGAATGTCATGTGGCCCCTTGTTATCCAATAAGAGAAGCTTATTCTTAACTGATATGAAATAACATTTATTCTTCAGCTAGAACACTTCCTGTTGTCTTTATCTTCCAAATATAGTAACAAAGTGATATTTCATGCAATGTCAATTTCATGTCACATCACTTTTCTTCACAATTTGGGGTTAGTTTAGGGATGGATAAGGTATTTTATTTTATTTTCATAACTATAAATGTAGCCATTTTTAGATGCAGTATAAAACCAGTATTAGGTAAATGTCAAAATAGCTCAAAGCAAGCCCTTCCCAGTTAATTGTTTCCATGCCTGAAACAAAGAAGTTGATATTTTTCTGACTTTGATGTCATATTGTATATCTAAATGAAAGGGGAAGGGGGAAAGCATTCTTAAAAATCTACAAAAATTTAAGAATGAAATTGGGAATTGTAATAAAGTATTGCACTCTCACAACTAGTCACAAGTCCTATTTTTTGTAGTGATATAAATGAAAAAAGACTGATCTTTTAAGTTTACCCTTTATATTACAGCTGTTCTGTATCTTCTCACATTTGTTGGCCATAGAAATTATAAGAAGGAGCAATGAAATGCATTAATGTAGTTGGGAAGCACATTAATTTTAATAGCTAAGTGACACATTTATTAATTATGCATGCAATAAAAAAATACTTTGCCAGTTTGGACTGTAACTGGTATAATATAAACAGTGCATCTTTACTCAATTTGAATATACAACAATAAGAATAACAGAAACAAGCAATAAAAACTAAAAGCAAAAAGAATGATTACAAATGATATTCCTAGTTTTTCTATATACAGGTACCACATGCTAATGTTATTGCTAGTATGGAAGACTATGAAAATGATATGGGTGCTGAGAAGAAGAGAGTTCAAGACATGCTAGAAGGAATTCATCAGGCTGAGACTGAGAAAGAAAAGGAAAAAGGTAATGTTATAAACATTCTAGGAATCTTGTGAACATATATTTGTTCCTCCTTAAAGAAGTTCCTATAGAAAGTACTATAAACAATGTTTTAATGTCTGTTTCTGATGGAAACAAATTTCAATACTCTTCATTCCGTTAGGAACAAATACTGTAATATTTTCAGCAGGTGGAATTAATATTCCAGAATGTCTTTTCTACCATTTTGAACTAATTTTATAAAGGAACATCGATTCCATGACGATCTGTTTGTCTTGTTCAGAACTCTTGAATGCTTTGGAGGATATTAAGGTTACTTTGTATTTTTGTTGCCCACCACCAGAGGTTGTGTCATGATGACAAGGGATGGAATGTCTATAAGGTCAAAAATACCTTCTTTCAATAAATATTCAGCTCACAAGATTTGTAAAATTTTACAAGGCATATCAGTCAGTCATTCAAGTAGCTCAACTGTTTAATAAAGTTCTGTTTCATTAATAATGGCAAATCCAGTACATGAATTTCTGAATTTACAGTATTTGGTTTCTTTGTCAAAAGTTTTATCAATAATTTTATCCTTGTTGTATTTACAGAGGCACAAGAAAACTCCAAGGCATTTTCAACATCAGTCAAAGCAAGTGAAATAGTGCCTACAATTACACAGGGTGAGTTTACAAGTATATTTTGTTGTTTATTTTTTTAATTAGTATGTATAAAATGAGATGTGGGATATATATTCATAAGGCTAAAACTAAATAGAACTAAATATGAACATTTAGAGGTCACTGTTCAATCCATGACAATATATTTATTTAGGGGTCACTGTACAGTCTTTGACAAAATATACATTTAGAGGTCGCTTTACAGTCCCTGACAATATATACATTTAGAGGTCACTGTACAATCCATGACAATATATACATTTAGAGGTCACTGTACAATCCATGACTATATACATTTAGAGGTCACTGTACAGTCTGACAAAATAAACCTTTAGAGGTCACTGTACAATCCATGACAATATACACACTTAGTGGTCACTGTACAATCCATGACAATATATACATTTAGAGGTCACTGTACAATCCGTGACAATATACACATTTAGAGGTCACTGTACAATCTGACAATATATACATTAAGAGGTCGCTGTACAGTCTTTGACAAAATATACATTTAAAAGTCAACGTACAGTCTGGCAATGGACCAACATCCACACTGTACAACATTTTACTATTCATATTTTATCCCAAGTCACAAACTTGATCAGTGGAAATAGATTCATGTTATCTTCTAATTTGAAAAGCAATAAAATTTCAGTTTAGGTCCTTTATGTAAGAAATAATAAACCTAGGGATAAGATTTTATAGTATTGTCTGTAGGAAAATGATCCATGGTAAAATTAAAATTTATTGAAAAAACAATACTGTAAATTCAGAAATTATTGCGAGGTTTTTATTAATGCGAATAATGTGACTGGATGAGTATCGCAATAAAATAAACTGGCATTCTGATATCTTATGCATATATCTGTATCCAGATTTTCCTGAAATCGCATTAATTAATCTCGCATTATTGTTTATTTCTCAAAAATCGCAATAATAAATGCACGCAATAATTTCTGAATTTACAGTATGTCATTTGAAATCAAATCCAATAGAGCACATTTTACATTATATTTGATTTTTCTTTCATTTTAGTTTCAGCATTTCAGACAACTGGTTTAGTAACAACAGCAACCTTGTCTGTATCATCTGCTGGTTTGTCATTGACATCAGCTGGTCCAATATCATCATCTACTTCTACAAGCTCTGTAACAACGACTTTAGCTTCCAATCCTATGATGTTTAAATTTGCTACTGTGAAAAGTTCTAGTCCGCTCAAAACAACAACTAAAGTTGGTTTAATGTCAGGTTCATCCCCTATTGGAGGAATAAGTAGTAGTGCTGGAGGAAACACTACTACAGTAACATCAGCAGGGATGGCTCTTTCTACTGGATTCTCTGTTTCAGCAGTTTCTGCTAGTGGTGCTTCTACATCAGTAGTACCTCCATTTGGATTGAATACAGCACAAGGAACAAGTGCTCCATCAGGAATAAGTTTTGGAACAAACGTTACTCCAGCTTCTTCTACATCTTCACAATCTGGATTTAATTTTGGATCTCAGCCAGAGTTGTCTTCTGTTCCAGGTTTTGGGACCACACCGTCAACAACTCCTTCCATGACAACAACAGCACCACCACCTTACAGTTTTACAACAAATGTTACCAATGCTCCTTTGGCTACACCAACAGCATCAGGTTTTAATTTTGGTTCTGCCACCTCTGCCCCTGGTGCTCCTGGTACTGGGCAGTCAGCATCAGTATTTGGAACACAACAAGGTGCTCCAGCTTTTGGAGCCCAAACTCAGACATCACAACCATTTGGAACTCAGCCACCACCTGCATATGGATCTCAGTTGTCAACACCTTCATTTGGTGCTACACAGCCTCAATCCACAGCTTCGTTTGGTATGCAACCATCTTCTAATGCCACTTTTGGACTGGCTACTACTACCGCAAATACTACCGGCACTAATCCAACGGCTTCAACATTCAACTTTAAACCGTTTAATCAAACACCTGCTCAGCAGCCAACAACACAACCTTCCATGTTTGGAAGTCAACCAAGTGCAGGTATTTCATCCTTTGGGTCTGCAGGATCTACAGCCACAACAACTCCAGGATTTGGAAGCACACCATCTTCATTTGGACAAGCAACTTCTACGGCTCAGTCAGGAGGGTTTAACTTTGGAGCAAGCACTCCATCTTTTGGAAGTCAAGGTATTTCTGGTTTTGGACAAACCAGTTCTTCTAGTGCAAAACAATTTGGTACAGCAGGATTCGGAGCTGCATCTACACAGCCTGGATTCTCTGTTACGACTGCAAGCACCACATTTGGTCAAGGAACAACAAATATGTTTAGCAAAACTACCACAACAGCAAGTTCATTTGGTCAAGGGTCATCTGGCTTTGGGACTTCATCAGGTACTGGATTTGGGACCACTGGACCATTTGGACAAAGTTCAGTACCAAAATCAACAAGCAGTGCCTCATTTGGACCATCATTTGGACAAGGGGGTACAACATCAGGACCAACATTTGGTCAAGGGAGTACATCATTTGGAACTACTACCAAAACAACAGCCAGTGGTTTTGGGGGTACTACAGGATTCTCATTTGGTCAAGCCTCCAACACTTTTGGGACTGCTAGCACACAGGCAAGCAGTTCTGGAAACTTTGCTTTTGGAACACCTGCAAAAACAACTCAGCCAGCTGCTAATGCAGCCTATAATTTTGGATCTTCTAGTGGAGTGCCCTCTACTCCAAACAATAAAGGTGGAGGAGGATTTGATTTCTCAGCATCAACAACGCCATCAAACACAGGAGGAGGAGGTTATAATTTCAGTAAGTCAATGTTTTACTGATACTGTGGATTCTTTAATTTCCATGGTTTCCAACTTTTGTTGATTGAAGAATAAAAATCAGATCTTTGTGGAACCTTGAATTTGTGAAGTTTCCATGCAAGAATAAAGGAAACTCATACTTGATACAACAAATAATAATGAATCCACAGTATTTGATTTATGCTTTGGTATGATATTTGCATATGTTTTTTAAGTTTAAGACTCTGACTTTCAGTCAGGGGTACTACTTGTTCAAGTAATTTTATTTACTTTAAGAAGTAAATATTAATATACTTATATAAGTAAATTTGTAAGATACTTATACAAGTGTATTTTACTTACTTGTATAGGTAAATTATTTTAATGGCTAAGTTATGTCCCTTAGACATTCAGATTTTTTTACTTCTACAAGTGAAAAAAGTCGTATTATCTTCTTTTCTTGAATTTCTCAGGATTCTTTGCTCTGATAGAATTTTCAATTGTCTCTCCTTTGCAGATGTTTTTACAAATCATTTAATTTAATTTTCATGTAATTTCATGGACAATGAAATTCTCATTAGTCTGTTATCTTCAAAACACTGCTCATTTACAAGCACCCATGAGGCAATTTTTGAAGGCCTTGCACAATTACTTAAGATCTTTGCGCAATTAATTTCTATGTTGAATTAATGAGATGAAACAATGAACTCTTATAGAAAATTATGAGCTAACCAGAGAAAAATTTTTTAAGGCATGTTTTTACATCCCAAAACTTGAGAATTTTTGGGATTGTAATAAAAAATTACTTATACAAGTAAATTTTTTAAGAAATTAAGGGGAGGTTATTCAAACACAGTAATAAAATATGAATATAACAAATTTACTTATATAGGTATATAATTATTTACTTTTTAAAGTAAATAACAATTACTTGTACAAGTAGTACCCCTGACTGACTTACATTCATTTGGAATTGGAAAGTCCTGGACATCGTTTGGAATATTTTGAGTTTAAACTGTAAAATTGAAGATCATATTATATATAGATGACCTGTTTTCCATAATGCCACTAAAATTGTCATTTTTTCTTTTGCCATTCCATGGTTGACATCAAATGTCAGTAACTGCCTCAGTGGTCTCATGTTAGTGTGCTTGCCAATAGTGCAGATTGCTGTGGGTTTCATACCCAACCCGATCAAGTCAAGGATTTAAAAATTTGTGTTTGTTGCTTCTCTGCTAAGCACGGAACATTTATGTCTTTAAGACTGGTTAGTTATGAGTCACAATAATATGTCTACGAAGGGTGATATGTCTTCCTGCTACTTGTTGCCTTGCTAACAAGCACCTTAATAATCAAGGTCAGCATGTTGGTCTGGTACAAAGTAGGGAACAGGTTCTAGTCCTTATATGCATGTAATAATTGCCACTGGACTTTAAACACTAATCCACCATCATCTGATATCAGTACAGACTCAGTATTACAGCCGATTTCAATGAGTGTGTAGGCAAAGGTAATATCTTTGGTTAGCTTGCTTGCTAGCTGAACCGTGAAGTCATTGTTAGGTTAGGTAAACTACCCTCCTTTAAGAGTAGACTAGTCCGACAGAAAACCAACCTGTCTGTAGGACTAGGCTACTTCGAAAGGAGGGTAGTAAACCTTACCTAACAATGACTTCACAGTTCAGCTAGCAAGCAAGCTAACCAAATATATTACCTTTAGCTACACACTCATTGAAATCGGCTGTAAGAAAGTTTAACTATCATGTTTTGGCAAGCAATCTCTATCAAAGAAATATTGCTACAATCAGTGTTCCCACTCTACCTTAAAAACTGGAAAAAGCCTTAAATTTTATGTCCTATGTTACAGCCCTGGAAATGCTGTTGAAATCCATGAAAGTGTCCAGAATCCTGGAAAGTCCTTGAAATTTTAATGTTTTTGATGTTGGTACATGCAGCTTTTCAAAATTTGGGTTATTTCCCTTTAACATATTCTGACTTCTGAGCAATTTATCCACACCTATGTCTATAAGAGATGTTCCAAAATTAATCAGGTGTGGGGATGGGAGCCCTCAAATTAATGAAATATTGGTGGTTACATTTTCCTCAGCATTTTGTAAGAGTTATAAGGAAAATGAAAAAAAATATTATGGGTTGTCAGGGTCTTAAAAAGTACCTCCCATGCTCCATGTGATAAATTCTGATACAGCCCTGGTCAAAAAGTAACTTGTAGTGTTTTTTTATCTATGTAAAATGTATGTCATCTGATACTGGCTTTGTTAATAGATGAATGTCCTGGAAAAATGTTTGATTTCTTTTCGTTTTATTTTTTTTGCTAAAAGAGGGAGACTCTAACAATATGTAATATGTTGCCTATAATGTTTAAAAACGGGTAAAGGTGATATAATGTTTTTCAGATGGTAGCTTTGAGGTTTTCCCCCACCAATAAAACATAATAATGAAGAAGAAGAAAGTAAAGAAAATCACTGTAAACTAGATCAAGTTACCGAAAATTCAGAAATTATTGCAATGTTTTCATTTATGCGAAAAATTTGTCAGTACCAGGTTCGCAATGAAAAAAAAAACTTGCAATCATAATTTCAGTAGGGATTTTCATTCATAAAATGTTTACAATGGCATTAATTATTCTTGTATTTTTACTAATCATCAGTGATTTTCAAAAATAAAAGCATTCATTAATATCTGAATTTACAGATATCAACTCCAATACTTGAGAATTTAAAACCAAATGTCATGTGATAAACAAGTATAAAATGCTATTTTCCCATTTAATAACCTGGCTTTATTTCTAGGTGCCAATGCAAGCTTTGGAACTCCAACTGGAATGGCAACACCTGTCTTTGGGACACCCACAGGAGGAGGTACACCTAACATGTTTAGTGTAGGGGGTACAGGAAGTATACCAAAGCCAAGAGTAGCTCGTGGAAGGAGGAGAGGTGGTCGAGGACGTTGATCTCAACAAAACAACTGATATTACACGTATGTTGCCATGGTGATCTCTAGTTTTACAAATAATTTGGAGAAATATGGCAGGTCAAATGATGAAAGAGAGATGTTCTAGATAAAGTGACAGTTGAGAATAGTAACAATTGTTTTTTATACAAGAGATTGACATTAACAATCCTGTACAAGATCATGAAGATGACAGTGTATTGTCCAAAAGACAATAAGCCAAAGTCTTTCTTCATCTCTAGATCTGTTAATCATAGGAATGTCTTACATCTATCAGGTTGTCTATGCTATGCTTTTGATCTATGATAAATAGAAACTTGCATGATCTAGTGCAAAATTCTTTACGTAAACATTTATTTATTGCTCAGATCTATGGAAAAAAAAACATCTTTTGTAACAGTTTATATGCAGCTTTCCAAAATAGTCAGTTTTATAAAAGAAAGACTTAATAAATTGAATGTTAGTTCTTGGAAATAACTAACTGATCAGGAGCAATGAAGAGCTGTGATAACAGACAGATATTCACCTTCCCATGTAATATATTGTTCATACAAAAACATTTCCTGTGGATTGACGAAAAATTGTATTTTCATTGATATATATGATTTTGTGGTTGTGCCAGTCTTCATTCAAGCATAAAGAAGATTTGTATTACTTTGAACCTTTTAATCGTGGTTCACATTTACCCACAAAAATTGGTATCTCACGAATAATTAAACTATAGTAATGAATTCTACCTGTTGAAAAGGGAAGTTAATTGTAGTAAAGTAAAATTGTTGTCAGAGTCAAATTCATGCTTTGCAGAATATCTGATGGAAAGGGCTATTGATCAAAATTTGTTATTTAGGCAATGCATTTTATACATAGAAGAATTTATGCAGATTGACATATTTTAGGAAAAAAATTCACTGCCTCAGAATTTTTTTACTTTTGAAGATCTTTCTTCAAAAGCATGAGTATGATGAAATATTAAGATTTCTGTTTGACAGAAATAGGAAGCAAATATCTTACTTCACCTAGAGAAGAATTACAATATGTTGATGTTTTTTAAATATACAATTTCATTGCCTTATCGAAAATCTGGTATCATTTTGATCATGTAGAATTATTACAGAACTTTTGGTGGGTACATGAGTTGCCTTATTGGCAATCATACCACATCTGATTTTTTGTATTAGTGCCTATACTAATTTAAATATTAAGGGCTGTTTGTCGAATATTTATTTATTGTAAACTTTAATATGGATGCTTTAAAATGATATGCTGCATTTAACATTTGTAATTATTAATTTGTAGTCATACAGAAGAACAGTGTTCAGACATTATAATTGTCATTTTTGTGCTACAAAAATGGAGGTCAATGATTGTTTTTTTTTGTATTGTTGCTCTTTAATTTATGTGCATTTGGCAATTTAGAGTTAGACTTGAGGTATAGACACTTGTTTACTGAAGATTGCATGGTGACCTCTAGATGTCACTGGTGTTTTTTGTACTGTCAGATTGCCGTCTCATTAACACATTGTGAGAGCTTATTTTGATTTTCCACTGGTTTCAGATGCATTCTATTTTCAGGGTAATTTATAAAGAGTATTTTACACAAGATGAATGAATAGTAACTGTTTGAAAATAGTAGTACTTCCATTGAAATTCTTCATATTTGATATTTAGGGATCATTAAGAAACAATGGAAACATCTTCCACAATGTTACATTATCATGGTATATTTTATTTTTTCAAGTTTTACATCAGGAAGTTTTTGTACTTGTGGTGAGGTCAAGGTTCAAGGTCATATTCTAAATTTTGACCTTTGTGACAAAAACTAAGATTTTGTAGTTTATAACACAATCATGATTAAATGAAATAAAACTGTTATTACTGTTTGTTGTGATTTTCTCTATTACAATTGTTCTGACAGGAGAAATTATTACCTAACATTTAATGAAAATATGTCTTATTCATTCCTAAAGGAAAAAATAAGATTATGTTGATTAATATACATGATCCGAAAAAAAATGTTATTCGAAACAGATTAAATTTACAATATAGAATTGAGAGTGGAAATGTGGAATGTGTCAAAGAGACAGCAACCAACCAAAGAGCAAAAAACAGCCCATGGCCACAATGGGTCTTCAAGGCAGTAATTATACTTGGATATCAACTCTGAAGTTCAACCACCAACAGATAATATGGTTAAGTAATAAAAAATGGTATTTGAAAGGTAGCATAATATGGATCTGGTAAAACTGGAAAATGAATGGCTGGAGTTACTTCCCTTATATTAAATATAGTGTAGTGCTAATTTTCAAAAGTTGTTGTATTTACTGATGCAAATCTATGAGAGGAAACACTTTTCCTTTTCACTAAATAGAACATTCCTTTATCCCACCAAAAAATAATGAGGTTACAGTATATACGTCATATGCCATAAATAACCAGACAGGCTCATAAGTGTAGTTAACAGTATTAAAACTCTTTGTGTCTGGCATAAAGTAGCGGATTCCAAATGTAAGCATTTTGAAATAAAACAAAAGTAAAATAAAGTAAAAGTAACCAGATTCTTGTAAGGTTATAAGAGAAGCAGGATTTGCCTACCAGATTGTTTATTTAGGATGGCCTATGCAGTTAGTGCTCACTATTTTGAATAACTAAAATTGAGAATGGAAATGGGGAATGTGTCAGACAACCCGACCAAAGAGCAGAAAACAGAACTAGTATTTTCTCTCAATCTATTTATGACTTTTGAACAGCGGTATAGCGGGTATACTACTGTTGCCTTTATTGAAGAAAAGATATTACATGAACATTTAAAAATATACTTTTTGATTTCTATAACTATTATTTATTAACAACAAAAAAAAGAAGTAAAAAGTTAAAACTATCATGACCTTTTTAATGCTATCACTATATATTGCATCAACTGTGTTTGTCTAAGGAAGTTGTATGAGAAGAAGAGATATAAAAATAGCATCCACAGGATAGCAATTCGATCAGAGGAAAATGATCAAAAACATAAAGAAACAGACATGTTAATCACCAACTTGATTTGGCCCTCTGGCTGGGTCTTTAAAATACAGGTATACTGATCGTAAGAAATCATTTCAAATGTGTTTCTATTTCGCAATAATATTTGACACGAAATTCTAAAAGTATATCATCTTACTACTATGAAAAACGATTAAGAAATGACAAAGTTATGAGGGTTGTAAGAAATTTAAGAATGCAATTTCTATTGAACCCCACATTGCTTTAAACAAAGATTTTCGCTTAACCTGTCTGGCCCTTCCCATGGAAATTGATAGGTTGCGACCAGATCGAATATTTGTAATTGAAGCGAAGAGAAATTTATCGAGAGCCAGCGCAAGTTTGTTTCTCAAATAGTTAGGCTGTAGATATATGAGGATTAGCGCTTAGATATTCAATTCACATGTTGGCTACTAGAAATAGGAAATTGAAGGTTATATATCCTCTAAAGGAATATCACTACAAAAGTCAAAAAGTCTAAAAAGACCAGTTTTTGTCTGAATTTTCATGAATTTTTACTCGTCATTCTTAATTTGTCTGAATAATTTTTGAAAATTCTTGACATAGTATGAATTTGTCTAATAAGGTTCTTGATTTTTCTTGACAAGTGTCTAGACAGTAGGAACATTGTCTTAAAATTTCTCGACACTTCCTGTATCATCTGATAAGAGTCTGGATTAGTCTCGACCAATTCTTGACTGTCTTAAATTTGTCTCGATCTGTCTTGACATATTCTTGACATTCTTAATAATGTCTGAATATGTCTTGACATATTCTTGACATTCTAAATAATGTCTGAATATGTCTCGACACATTCTTGACAGTCTTAAATATGTCTTGACACTATCTCAACAGTATAAATTTCGCCTGAAATGTGAACAGAATTATTCTGCACTGTTTATGACATTCTATTGCTGTTATATACTCCTTTTTATTAGGGTCTCTAAAAACACAGCAAAGGACCTCCTTTGTGCACAAAGGAGCACAAAGGACCCCAAAGGAGTTTGATATGAGCACAAAGGACCTGAAATTCATTTCAAAACATAAAAATATTATAATTAAGTCTCCCAAACGAAGTTTGGGAAGACTTATTGTTTTTGCTCAGTTCTTATTAGGTCTTTCCACTTTTCGGTGGAAAGACCTATTGTATTTGTTCTGATTATTAGGTCTTTCCACTTTTCTGTGGAAAGACCTATTGTATTTGTTCTGATTATTATTATTATTATTATTATTTTTTTTTTTCTTTTTCCACCAACTTTTGAAATTTTTGTTTCGCAATATGTCGCTTAGATATTTCTCATATTGTATCGTATAGTTTATGGGCTTTTGAATTTCACCCTGCTAAGCCGAACAATTATCTTTGTAAGAGTTATCTCCCTATTCACTGTTTATCCAGTGTGTGCATCTCCTTTGTAACAAAAAAAGATATCGACAAAATTCTTTTTCTAAATTGTTCGTTACATTCTCAGGAATTTTTGGCTAATTTGGATCGAAGCGATTCGATGAAATTTTATAGGAGTTATCTACCTTTATCAAATAAATTTGTCGTTATGTTTTTGTTACTCATAAACTGTAAGCCGTATAAACCTATAGTCTTTTTATTTAAGGTCCTTGGATCCTAACTTCGAAAATGAGGTCGAGGTCAAAGGTCAAGGTCATGTTCTGAATTTTGTCTTTTGCTTGTTTTTGCATTTTCTCCGATATTGTTAATGTTATATATTAAAGAACAAGTGCAAAATGTTTGTTATATTGTGATGAAGATATGATACATTTGGTCTGAGACAATCCAGCGACATCTTATTGGAGTTATTGCCCCTTAAATGTTTTATTCTAAGGTAAATGGATTATTACTTCATATTGGTACATGATAAAGCCATAAGATCTTTTGCAAAATGTTGGGTGACATATGACCTTGAAAAATGTCAACCGGAAGTGACCGTGAGTGAACCGGAAGTAGTCATTTTTGAACTTATTTCATGTAGAAGTACATAGAAACCATATATTTTTTGAATGTCATACATTAATCTATCATTTGAGACCGGAAGTGATATTTTATAAACCGGAAGTAGTAGTATTATCTCATTTTTTTACAGGCAAACCTATATATAAACCATATATTTTTGGAATCAGTGTAAATAAAGCTATCATATGAGACCGAAAGTGACATTTTCTAAACCGGAAGTAGCCAATTATCTCCCTTTTTACAAGCAAAATTATATATAAACCATATATTTTTGGAATCAGTGTAAATAAATGTATCATATGAGACCGGAAGTGACATTTTCTAAACCGGAAGTAGCCAATAATCGCCCTTTTTACAGGCAAGAGTATATATAAACCATATATTTTTGGAATCAGTGTAAATAAAGCTATCATATGATACCGGAAGTGACATTTTCTAAACCGGATGTTGACAATTATCTCCCTTATTTCAGGCAAAAGTCTATAGAAACCATGTTTATTGAATCAGTATGAAGAAACCTATGATTGGACGCCAATAGTAGCTTTGAGTAAACCAGAATTATCTTCTCATCAATTATTTAGAAAATTGATGTGGAAAGACCTTCAATTGTTCTTTGAACAATTGGTTTTTAATTATTATTATTATTATTATTATTTTTTTTTTTCTTCCGCCAAATTTTGTTCTTGCGATAAATATTTGTTTCGCAATATGTCGCTTAGATATTTCTCATATTGTATCGTATAGTTTATGTGCTTATAAATTTTACCCTGCTAAGCCGAACAATTATCTTTGTAAGAGTTATCTCCCTATTCACTGTTTATCAAGTGTGTGCATCTCCTTCGTAACAAAAAAAGATATCGACAAAATTCTTTTTCTAAATTGTTCGTTACATCCTCAGGAATTTTTGGCTAATTTGGATCGAAGCGATTCGATGAAATTTTATAGGAGTTATCTACCTTTATCAAATAAATTTGTCGTTATGTTTTTGTTACTCATAAACTGTAAGCCGTATAAACCTATAGTCTTTTTATTTAAGGTCCTTGGATCCTAACTTCGAAAATGAGGTCAAGATCAAAGGTCAAGGTCATGTTCTGAATTTTGTCTTTTGCTTGTTTTTGCATTTTCTCCTATATTTTTAATGTTATATATTAAAAAACAAGTGAAAAATGTTTGTTATATTGTGATGAAGATATAATACATTTGGTCTGAGACAATCCAGCGACATCTTATTGGAGTTATTGCCCCTGAAATGTTTTATTTTAAGGTAAATTGATTATTACTTCATATTGGTACATGATAAAGCCATAAGATCTTTTGCAAAATGTTGGGTGACATATGACCTTGAAAAATGTCAACCGGAAGTGACCTTGAGTGAACCGGGAGTAGTCATTTTTGCACTTATTTCATGTAGAAGTACATAGAAACCATATATTTTTTGAATGGTCATACATTAATCTATCATTTGAGACCGGAAGTGATATTTTATAAACCGGAAGTACCATATTATCTCCCTTATTACAGGCATAAGTATATATAAACCATATATTTTTGGAATCAGTGTAAATAAAGCTATCAAATGAGACCGACAGTGACATTTTCTAAACCGGAAGTAGCCAATTATCTCCCTTTTTACAGGCAAAAGTATATATTAACCATATATTTTTGGAATCAGTGTAAATAAATATATCATATGAGACCGGAAGTGACATTTTCTAAACCGGAAGTAGACAATTATCTTCCTTTTTACAGGCAAAAGTATATATAAACCATATATTTTTGGAATCAGTGTAATTAAAGCTATCATATGAGACCGGAAGTGTTATTTTCTAAACCGGAAGTTGACAATTATCTCCCTTATTTCAGGCAAAAGTCTATTGAAACCATATGTTTATTGAA